CGGAGCCGCAAGAGGTAAGCAGCGGGTCCGAGGGCCGCCTCTGCCTCTCGGTGGGTGTTTGTATCCAAGGGGCTTTTCTTGCTCCTCTCAGCGGGGCTGGGGCGAGCTGCGCCTGCGGGCAGCTGTGACTCCTGCGTGACCCGCAGGCGCCTGGCGGAGCTGACGGTGGACGAGTTCCTAGCTTCGGGCTTTGACTCCGAGTCCGAATCCGAGTCCGAAAACTCCCCAGAAGCGGACACGCGGGAGACACGCGAGGCTGCCCGGAGTCCGGATGAGCCGGGCGGGAGTCCCTCGGCCAGGTGAGTGGGGACAGGCGTGAGCAGAACCTCCTGGCTCGCCCTGGCCCACCCCGCCGCAAGTTTGCTGACCTCGCCTGGGGTCTCAGGGTCAAGGCCTAAGGACCTCCGACCTCTACCCCCAGTCCCTTCAGCTTAACTTACTGTTTCATCCGTTGTTTACTGAGCTCCTGCCCGGTGCCAAACCCGGTCCTATGTATGTCTTGCGAACGTATGTTGGCGAGTTCTGCAAACGTCTCTTCGCGATCTGGGAGAGCTCTCGCGGTCTTGGGTAAAATCACCGCTTGCAGTTCAGTGGAACAGATAAGTGCTGGGGAGGGAATTGCCGGGGGAGCCGAGTTGCTCTGTTAGAAGGAGCGGAGGCTGGGCGCTGTGGCTCACACCTGTAATGCCAGCACTTTGGGAGGCCCAGGCGGGCAGATCACCTGAGGTCAGGAATTCGAGACCAGCCTGACCAACATGGAGAAATCTCGTCTCTACTAAAAATACAAACATTAGCCGGGCGTGGTGGGTGCCTGTAATCCCAATTACTCGGCAGGCTGAGGCAGGAGAGTCGCTTGAATTCAGGAGGTGGAGGTTGCAGTAAGCCGAGATGGCACCATTGCATTCCAGCCTGGGCAACAGAGTGAGACTCCGTCTCAAAAAGAAAAAAGAAAGAAACCCAAAAATACAAAAATTAGCTGGGCATGGTGACACGCACCTGTAGTCTTAGCTACTTGGGAGGCTGAGGCAGGAGAATCGCTTGAACCTGGGAGGCGGAGGTTGCGGTGAGTGGAGATTGCACCACTGCACTCCAGCCTGGGCGACAGTGAGATTCCATCTCAGAAAAAGAAAAGAAAAGAAAAGTGGAGGTGACTGAGAAGATGATGTCTGAATAAAGACCTCAAGCGAGGAGGCCACGCAGGCAGTAGGGGGAGCATGTCTTGGATTTCAGGTAGCAGAAACAGTAAAGGCCGTGCGGTGAGAGCATTTGGGGAGGGTGCAGAGGTAAACGTGGTGGCTGTGGCAGGAGTGAGCGGGTGAGTAGGAGCAGATGAGCCCGGAAGGGTGATGAAGAGCCAGGGGCCGTAGACTGTCCTAAGGTTACCTTGTAAAACAGGAAGTTACTTCTGGGTTTGAGCGGTGGAGTGCCTTGTAGGTGGCAAGGGTGGAAACGGAGAGACTTTTATGTTAACTGAGAGTTGAACTCTGGTGGTTTGAGAGGAGGCGTGAACAGTTTTGAAGGTGTTGCTAATGAGATCTGATGACAAGTTGCGTGTTGGGTATTAGAGACAGAGGTTTGCTTTTAGTCTGGGTCCCTGGAAGGGTGAAGCTACCAACAGCCAGAATAGAGCATGGCACAGGTGCAACAAGTGCAGGGAAGACCGTGGCTGGGGGTCCTGTGTATTGGATTTGAGCGTACGTTGTAGAGGCTGTTGGAGAGATGGGACTGCCAAAAACATACCTCCTGGCAATCCTCCTGCCTTGCTTGTTGGTGACTCTCGTGAACGGAGCAGACTAACCCTGTAGGCCACTCCCCACCCCCTCTACTTCCACTTTCTACTGGGGTTGCTGACTTGTGCCTTCTCAGCCGGCGTAAAGGCGGTGCCTCTGAGCACAAGGACCAGCTGTCTCGGCTGAAGGACAGAGACCCCGAGTTCTACAAGTTCCTGCAGGAGAATGACCAGAGCCTGCTAAACTTCAGCGACTCAGACAGCTCTGAGGAGGAGGGGGAGCCGTTCCACGCCCTGCCGGATGTGCTGGAGGTGAGGGCATGGGCCGAACCAGGAGGGCACTTGTGGCCTCTACACCCTCCTTCAGCTCAGCCTTTCTGTGCAGGAAGCCAGTGAGGAGGAGGATGGAGCAGAGGAGGGGGAAGATGGGGACAGAGTCCCCAGAGGACTGAAGGGGAAGAATTGTGTTCCTGTGACCCTCGCCATGGTTGAGAGATGGAAGCAGGCAGCAAAGGTGAGCAGCAGCGAGGGGTGGGCAGCTGGGTGCCCTAGGCAGGAATCTGGCCTTGCCTCACTTGGGGTGCCTGAGGCTGTGCTGGTGGGAGGAGCTCTTCTCCACGCAGGGGACACTGGAGTCCTCTTCAGCGCAGGTCACTACGCCTTGATCCTCCTGCTTGCTTGATTGCCCCAGGACTGTGTGTTCACCTTTGGGTAGATTCCAGGGGCTCTGTCGGCGCCTGGCTCCCCAGAATCTGCCCCACTGTGGGTGGGATGGACTGTCTGTGCCTTTGTTGGCTGGGGGAGCTGGGGTGCTTCTGAGCCTCTCTCAGTGGTTTTTCTAGGGACAAGGATAGGGAGAGCTCCAGATACCACCTGGAGGTGGCCATAGTCCAGGATCTGGAACCCCCAGCCCGTTCCCTGGGGCCCCTGAGCCAGACTCCCTCCCCTTCCCAGAGAATTCTAGACTTGGTTTCCATTTTTGTTATCCGTATGGGGCTCTGTGGGCCCCCCCCACCTCTGCCCTGTGTCTGAGGGTGAGGGCGCCTTTCTCTGGGGCCACCGTTTCCACTCTGCCCAGTGCAGTCTTGGCTCCCCTGACGCCCCTGGTACTCTTGCTCCTTCAGCAACGCCTCACTCCAAAGCTGTTCCATGAAGTGGTACAGGCGTTCCGAGCAGCTGTGGCCACCACCCAAGGGGACCGGGAAAGTGATGAGGCCAACAAATTCCAGGTCACGGACAGTGCTGGTGAGCTGGGGGGACCCTGGCATCCAGGCTGGTGAGCTTGAGGGGACCCTGGCATCCAGGCTGTCTGGTGAGCTGGGGGGAACCCTGGCATCCAGGCTGTCTGTTGTGTTCTGTATCCCATGAGTACATCCAGGCCTTTTCATTGCAGTGTTCAATGCTCTGGTCACTTTCTGCATCAGAGACCTTATTGGCTGTCTCCAGAAGCTGCTGTTTGGAAAGGCGGCAAAGGACAGCAGCAGGTAAGAGGAGAGGGAGTGAAAGGGGGATTGGGACTACACACAGGAGAAGCCAGAGGCCTTGTGGCCAGGACAGAGATGTGGTGACAGAGCCAGGCTCTTCTCGGGGACCCTAAGAAGGCAACGAGGCATGAGGGACCCTTGGGAGAGGCTGGGCACTTGGGGCCGGTTGGAGTGGCCCCACCTTCTTTCCTTCCTGAAAAGGAAAGTTCTCTGCTCAGAGTCTCAGGAGGTATGGATGTGCGGCTGCCTTTGCGCTTAGAATTTCCCAGGTTAGGAGGTTAGGGTGCTTGCTCTCTTCCCCTTCGTACGGCCTTGGAAGTTCTGTCCATGCTCCTTGACCTCTGCACTGTGACTGGCCTGTTTCCTGCAGCTGCGTGTGTCTGTAGACAGGGGCCTGAGGGCCTCAACTTCCCCCTTAGAGGAAGGTTGGGCAGAGAAGGCCGTGGAAGGTTTTCAGAGAGAGATGTACAGCCAAGCATTTGGTAGAGCATGGGTCACATTGGGGTTCCAGGGGCCGTGCAGCCATGTAACCTTGAGGCAGTGGAGGGCTAGAGTTGAAATTGCCCCAAGACACCTTCCAGAGGAAGAAAGGAGACCCAAGGGAGAGGTCTCGCCATCAGCACCTCGGGGGCAGGAGACAGCGGCTCAGGAGACGGGCACTGTTGCTGGTGGTGGTGGTCGGGGCTGGGCGGATGGAGCAGAGCTGTGTCCACATGGAGGCAGTGCTGTCCGAAGGGGACGGGGAAGCTGGCAGATGGCGTGGAGGACAGGCAGTGACTGGGGGACAGCAAGCAGCCTGAGCCACTAGGTCAGGAACCCCTGTCAAGGCAGCAGCTGTGCCAGAGGGTGTCAGGCCGTGGGGGAGCAGCAGCAGGTGCCCAACAGCCAGTGTCAACACAGGTGTGAGGAGGGTTGAGGACAGGGGGGCCTTTCTGGGGCCCTGCCTTTGTCCTTCCCGTGCTTCAGCAGATTTTAGTGAGCGCCTACTGCATGGGTTCTGGTAAATGGTTTTTTTTTTTTTCGCTTATGAGACAGAGTCTTGCTATGTTGCCCAGGCTGGAATGCAGTGGTCTGACCACAGCTCACTGCGACACCTACCTCCTGGATTCTCCCACCTTAGCCTGCAGGCGTGGATGATATTTTGTATATTTTTGTAGAGAGAGGGTCTCACTATGTTGTTCAGGCTGGTCTCAAACTTCCGGGCTTGGAGTTTGATACCCCTGCCTTGGTTTCCTAAAGTGCAGTGACTACTGGCATGAGCCTCCACACCTGTCCTCTGATTTTCTTTTCTTTGTGCAGCAAACGTGGGCGAAAGGAAACCAGCCTGCGGCAGTTGGTGGTGCCTGGCAGACCCCAGAGGCACCGAGTACCAGCTGCTGGGCTTAGGGGCCTCATGTGGTCTCGTGGGGATATGATCAAGGGGACTTAGAAAAGGTTTATGTCTGAGAGATGGAGCTGGAGGCTGGGACTTCTGGGGACTCTCAGGGAGGCGGCCAACCCTGGGCCAGGACAGACAGGAGTTCAGGGCCACTGAAGGAGGGGCTAGTGCCCCTGAGAGGGTCCTGCTAAGCCCCTGTGTCCGTCCGGCTGTAAGGTCCCTGAGCTTTCTCGAGAGGAGAGATGGGAGTCTCTGCAGGGTTGTGGAGGCTGCGCTGGCCAGGACCCGCGCCAAGACGCTGAGCAGCCTTGCGTCCAAGCCATGGGGCTTCCCAGACAGGGATGGGTGGTTTCTCTGCAGGATGCTGCAGCCGTCCAGCAGCCCGCTGTGGGGGAAGCTCTGTGTGGACATCAAGGCGTACCTGGGCTCGGTCATACAGGTGCTGTTCTGGTGGGGAGGGCACAGGGGCCTGGCTGTATCTGGTGATCCAGCCCTTTTTTGTATCCCAGAATGTGTGGGTTTGGGGCTTCACTGTCTCCTCCTGCCCCTAGCTGGTGTCCTGTCTGGCGGAGACGACGGTGTTGGCGGCCGTACTGCAGCACATCAGCGTGCTGGTGCCCTGCTTCCTGACCTTCCCCAAGCAGTGCCGCATGCTGCTCAAGGTGGGCGGCCCAGTCCCCTCCCTGTCTGTCATGGGGTCGGGGCCCACGCGGCTGCCCCCACCACATCCCACTCCTGACCAGGGCACAGGTGGTGCCCACGCTCCACTGGCTCCACTTGGCTAGCAAGGCCGCAGAAGCACCTGGCCCCCACCCCCACCTGCCTGGGCAGCATGGCTCAGTCTGTGAGCAAAGCCACGTGAGCTATTCTTTTCCCGGTGTGATTTCACATACGGTGGCGTGTCTGACATACGCTTTTGTGGTCCTCTTCTCACGAGGAGCAAGCGCGCCTGTTCTGTTTACTTCTGTAGCTGAGCTCCTAACTCACAGCTCCCTCGTGCTTTGGGAAGAGCTGGTGGCCACGGGAGCTTTTGCCTGGCTGGGGAGGGCTGTGCTGGCCCTGGGGCATCCCAGCTGAGGAGGCTGGGGGGCCAGCAGTGATGTCTGACCTTCTGCAGAGAATGGTGGTCGTATGGAGCACTGGGGAGGAGTCCCTGCGGGTGCTGGCGTTCCTGGTCCTCAGCAGAATCTGCCGGCACAAGAAGGCCACTTTCCTCGGCCCCGTCCTCAAGGTAGTGGGAGGCCCTGCATCTGTGTCCCTCAGCGTCTGCTTTGGAAATCTCAGCCTGAGGCGGGGGAGGCTGCCTTGGTGGTGCCCCTCACTGGGCCCTGCACTGCGGCTCTGAGCAGACCTGGGCCCTTGGACCACGAATGTCTTACAGAGCATCTGGGGGTGGTGGGCAGGGAAGAGAGCCCTCAGCCTTCTCAGGGCACCAGGGCCCCTGGACCCTACTTCACACAACTTCCCCAGGTGAGGGCCTCCCTGGCTGGAGGAGGACACTGGGTGTTGGCATCTGAGGCCATGGTCAGGGTACAGTCCTGCCCGTCCCCCAGCCGTGGGTGGCCTGCATGTGGGGACCTTCAGCCCCCAGACAGGCCCAGTGTGCAGCAGGAGCTTGTGCCCCACCTCCTCCCAGGCCTGAGGCTGGTGGGCACATGGGGGTGGGGGCTGTGCGAGGGGCTACGGCTCTTCCTTGAGGCCCAGCTCTGAGGGAAAGGCCCAGGGGTTCACAGGGGGCCTGGAGTGGGCGATGGAGGTACATGGCCCTGATCCCAGGTGGCTCTGACCGGGTCCCTCCGCAGCAAATGTACATCACGTATGTGAGGAACTGCAAGTTCACCTCGCCTGGTGCCCTCCCCTTCATCAGTTTCATGCAGCGGACCCTGACAGAGCTGCTGGCCCTGGAGCCGGGTGTGGCCTACCAGCACGCCTTCCTCTACGTCCGCCAGCTCGCCATACACCTGCGCAACGCCATGACCACCCGTAAGAAGGTGTGTGGTGGGCCCTTCCAGGCTCATGCTGGGCATGGGGTGGGGCAGCCCAGGTGCTTGACCCAAGGCAGGGCCTGGGGCCTCCCCGAAGCCCGTCTGTTGGAGACAGCCGAGCACCTCGGTGCAGTCGGTCCTCGCAGGTCGAGGAAGGGTGGATGGGTTGAGACCCCGCGTGCGAGGTGAGGAAATGATTCCTGTGCCAGCCCAGGAGGAATGTGCGTCAGCCCGGCCGGTCAGCCTGGCCAGTGGCTGACGTGGTTCTCTCTGATCAGGAAACATACCAGTCTGTATACAACTGGCAGTACGTGCACTGCCTCTACCTGTGGTGCCGGGTCCTGAGCACTCTGGGCCCCAGCGAAGCTCTCCAGCCCTTGGTCTACCCCCTTGCGCAGGTCATCATTGGCTGTATCAAGTGAGTTGTGGGGTGGGCAGGGCTATCCAGGAGGCTCAGGAGAAGCAAATTTGCTGGGACTGTGTGGGCAGTAGCTCTGGCGTTCAGGGCCCTGGGGCCTGAGTCTGTGTCCTGGCCGTCCCTGAGGAAGGGCTGGGGTCCCTGTACCCGCTACAGGGAGATGCACTGGACTCTGGAGAGCTGGGCTGGTGGGCCCCTGTGACATGAGCTGCTCCAGCAGCGGTTTAGCTGCCTCGGGTGCCACCGAGCGTGTTCTGGGGGCTTGTGTGCAGTTTACAGTGAGCTTGGTTCATTACGTGGGGTTTACGGGTGGAGCACGTCTGATGCAGTGAGCTGCATTTTGGGCGTGAGCACTCGGGAGGGTCCGGGCAGGGTAGGGGCTGCAGCAGGAAAAGGTGGGAGCGGCGCTTTGGCCGGATGCTTTTGTGGCCTCTTTGGCCAGGAGGGGGCGTCTGTCTGGCTGAGCCTTAGAAACTCAAAGCTGGGAAGGGAGGTGGGAGGTCGAAGGGAAGAAGCAGGAAAGCAGGAGTGGAGAGGAGAGGAGGCAGGAACAGATGAGACCCCTGGCACCGTGTTAACATGAAGTTAAGCTGAAAGCTGGGTAAGGTGCCTGCAGCCCCACAGCTGAGCAAGGGGTGCAGGTCCCCTGGGGTTCAGACTTGCCTTGCCCTGCTTGAGGGATCTGATGCCAGTGAGCGGGGAGGGGGTCCAAGACGGCAGGGGGAGGGGCAGGGGTTGCCAGAGCTGGGGCCTCTGCTCACTGGGCCTTCCCACCCCCAGGCTCATCCCCACTGCTCGCTTCTACCCACTGCGAATGCACTGCATCCGTGCCCTGACGCTGCTCTCAGGGAGCTCGGGGGCCTTCATCCCAGTGCTGCCTTTCATCCTGGAGGTGAGTGGGGCTATGGTGGGTGTGCGGCCCCTCTGCCTGCTCCTGTGGGGAGCATCTGCCGCTCAGGGCGTCTGTGCTGAGTTGTCCCGCGACCTCCCGGAGCCCTGGCCGCCTCCTTGTCACTGGGTCCTGAGGACGGTGCTCCTCGGCGAGCTGGGGGCAGTGTTGGTCCTTGTCACCGGTGTCCTGAGGACGGTGCTCTCCGCAAGCCGGGGGCAGTGCTGGGGGACGTGGGGCCTCTGGAGATGAAAACAGCTGCTGCTAGGGCTGCGCTTGAGGATGCCAGGCCCTGACCCTATAGGTGCTTGCCCAAGACGAGTTGGCAGGAGAGCGGGGCCAAAACCCCAGTCTGATTGCTGAACTGTACCCTCTGCAAGGCTGTGCCCCGACAGTTGTGTGCATGTGTATGTATTTGTATGGGGGGGTGTGTACATCTGTGGGTGAGTGCGTTTGTGTCTGTGCCTGCATGCATGTGTGTGAGTGCACCATCTGTGTGCACATGCGTGTGCAAATCTGTGTGTGCGCATATCGGTCCATGTGTGCATGTTTCCATATGTGCATGTGTGTGTGCACGTGTATCCATGAATGCCTGTGTGCTTGCAGGTATGTGCGTATGTATACCTGTGTGCATGCGGGTCTGCGTGTATCTGTGCACGTACCTTTGTACACGTGCATCTGTGTGCATGCATGCTGCGTGTGTATGCCTTTGTGTCCCTGTATGCATGCACATGCATCTGCGTGTGTGGACCTGTGTGTGCACCTTTGTGCATGCATGCGTATGTGTGTGCACCATCCGTGGGTGCATGCATGTGCGTCTATGTGTGTGTACCTGTGTGTGTACCTGTGCATGCATTTGCATATGTATACTGTGCGTGTGTGCACCTATGCGTATCTGTGTGTACCTGTGTGTGTGCCTGTTCATGTGTGCGCCTGTGTGTATCTGTGTGTGTATCTGTGTATGTGCACCTGTATGCTTGCACATGCGTCTGCATGTGTGTACCTGTGCATGTGTGCACTTGTGCATACCTATGCGTGTACCTGTGTGTGTGTGCACCTGGGTGCATGCCTGTGCATCTGCGTGTGTGTACCTGTGCATGTGTGCACCTGTGTGCATGCACATGCATCTGTATATACTTGTGGGCATGCATCTTTGCATGTACACGTGCCACTCAGGTAGGGAAAAGTTGGAGTCTGAAGTTTTGACATTCAGTGGGTGGGTTAGGCCCCAGCCCACCATAAATTTAGGACTTCACGATGTCCACTTTGTTTATCTAATTAGTTCTCAGCCTCATGAAGGCCCAGAGTCATGTCACAGCTGTTTTGGGGGCTAGGTCTCCAGGTTGCCAGGTCCAGAAGGTATGGAAGCCCCAGGCACGTCCTGATTCCCCTTCCACCGAGGCAGGGATGCTGAACATCTTTAGGAAGCCACGTTCACTTCTACGGCAGCCAGCAGTGGTCTCTGCCCAGCCGTTGGCCTGGCCCCTGTGTGTGCAGGCCTCCAGCTCTGCTGCCCAGCTCCAGGCATGTTTTGTGTCCGTCCGCTCTGCTCAGTCTCCCCGGCGGCGGCTTTCTTGCTCTCTTGCAGTGTCTGTTTCTTCACCTCTGCACTGCTCTGGTTCACTGCAGCCGCACCCCGCAGGCCCCTCTCATGCAGGGATGCAGGCTTCTCCTCTCCGGAAAAAGCAAACCCTAAAGGCTAAAGCAAAGCCCTCAGTTGTAGGCTGTGCCCGCCCTTCCCCGGTGCCTGGGCAGGAAGCCAGTGGCCCGCCCATACTTCGGCCCAGGCTAGAGAAGGGCAGTGCCCTCCCAGGGGCTCATCAGTACCAGGGCATTTTTCCATCTGGACCTGAGCTCAGCTGTCTGGCAGCCACCCCTGCTGAGTGGGGTCTCTTGCTGGGGCCTCCACCCTTGGGCCCCCCATAACCTTCTGTTCTCTGGGTGCCTCAGCATGTACCCTGAACCTCCATGGTTCACAGCCTGAGGGCCCCTGTGTGAGGGGTCTCCTGGTGGTTGGGGAGGGGTCACAAGACTAAGAGGCCGGGCTAGACTCCTTCTCCTGGCATGTTCTATGGAGGTGTACAGCCTGTGGCTTCTGTGGAGGATGTGGGAGGGGGGCCCCCCAGGCCTCTCTCCATCCCTTCCTATGTTTGGCACTCCTTGCTGTTGCTGCTGCATCCTCTGGTTGCTCAGGACAGAGCCCTGTGTGGTGCTGCCGTGCTGAGGGCCAGGACGGGCCTCAGTGCCACGTTGTCGGGAATGGGGGCTGTCCTGTACTCTGTGTGGCAGGGACCTCTAGGTCTCCAGACGCGGGTCCTTAGTGCTTCCCAGGATTCTGGGAAAGGACCCGTGTTCCTGATCCGGCGCTGCTGACCAGAACCCCACTCAGGGACACAGCAGGCCGTGGAGGCCACGGGGCTGGGACCATGCCTAGCTGCCCATCTCTGGTCTCAGCTTGGGTCTCCTCGTGCTGAAGCCTGAGGACCAGGGTGACTAGGTCCAGCCAGGTGCGGGACTGAGGGGACAAGGGGGACCAAGGTGCAGCCAGGCACAGGGCCAAAGGGACCGGGGGACCAGGCGTGGGGCCCAGGGGATCGGGGGACCAGGGTGCAGCCAGGGTGACCAGGCACAGGGCCAAGATAGCCTGACACGGCCCTCGGGCCAGATGTTCCAGCAGGTCGACTTCAACAAGAAGCCGGGGCGCATGAGCTCCAAGCCCATCAACTTCTCTGTGATCCTGAAGCTGTCCAATGTCAACCTTCAGGAGAAGGCCTACCGGGTGAGGCTGGCCTCCTGGGGAGGGGCCTGGGCAGTTCCCAGGGTGGGGTTGGGGGTGCTGAGGTGAATGGGAGGGGGCTGGCATCCTCCGAGTTCAAGTATGGACCTTCATGGTCTATCAGGGCTGGGGGCCCAGGGCCCTGTCTTGCAGTCCCTGCTCTGGAGATGAGGCTGACCTGATAGCCTGAGTGGAGGGGACTGAGTGCCAGCCCCTGCTTCTCCCTAACGCACTCAGTCCTCTCCCCTGCTCCTCAGGACGGCCTGGTGGAGCAGCTGTACGACCTCACCCTGGAGTACCTGCACAGTCAGGCACACTGCATCGGCTTCCCGGAGCTGGCGCTGCCCGTGGTCCTGCAGGTGTGTGTTCTGCCCACACCTGCTTGTGGCCGACTCATCCTGTCTTACAATGGGCCCGGCTGCCCCGGGCCGGTAGAGGTGTCTTTGTCCCGGGTACCTGGGGCCGGGGCAGAGCCGACTGGTGTAGAGGCTCCGTGCTGGCAGCCCCCACCCCGGGCCGTGGAGGGGCTGATGGGGAGCCTGTGGGTGTCCTTGGGTGCCATGGGACTCTTGACAAGGGGTTCTAAGCCATTTAGGTTTGCGGGCAGGCTTCGGCAGCGGGCTGAGGACCCTGGGAGTACAACAGCCTCCTCCCAGGGGGGAGCCACAAGGCTGATTCGGGGTTGGGACTGAGTGTGCCGACCCTGGCTCAGGCTGGTGCCCTGACCGCACACTTCCCCGGGCCATCCCGGGTGTGGGGAGTGGGTGGAGTGGCTTCTCAGTGGCTGCGAGGCCCGGCCTGCCTCGCCAAATGCCCCAAGTCAGCCTCACCGTAGGCCGGAGGAGGGCGGAGGAGGGGCTTGTCCTTGTCCTCAGAAGGTCCTTCGGGGTCCACGGGAGGCCTGTTTGCTCTCAGCCCTGATGTTTCCAGCCTCGGAGGCCTGTGCCCAAAGGGAGGGGTGGAGGCCCTGATGTCTGGCCCTGGTGGCTAGAATCAGATGTGCCAATTACAGGTTTGTGGGGAGGAGGGGTCTGCCCACCTGAACCACAACTGGTCAGAGGCTCATCAGGATACAGGGGGGTGTGTGTGTGTGTGTGTGTGTGTGTGTACTCAGTCACACACGGCCACACACGTGTCACGTGTCACAGGCACAGAGCCGGGACCCCCTTTCCGGGGGCACTCAGAGCAGGGGCCTCAGTCTGTGTTCCTCCCGTGTCCTCTTGTGTGGCGATGCCCGGCATTGGGGCATCTCTGCTTCTGGACTCCAGGGCGCAGGGTTGGGTCTGGAATAGGGGTCAGAAAATGTTTCCGGTAAGGGGCCAAATGGTGAACATTGCTTCCCACAGATGTTCAGCTGCGCAGGCAACTGCAGGAGCCATGCAGTGGACACACCAGTGAAACTATTTTTTTATTATTGTTTTTTGAGATGGAGTCTCGCTGTGTTGCCCAGGCTGGAGTGTAATGGTGCGATCTCGGCTCACTGCAACCTCCACCTCCTGGGCTCAAGCAATTCACCAGCCTCAGCCTCTGGAGTAGCTGGGTTTACCGGCACCCACCACCACACCCGGCTGTTTTTGGTATTTTAGTAGAGACGGGGTTTTGCCATGTTGGTCAGGCTGGTTTTGAACTCCTGACCTCAGGTGATCCACCCGCCTCAGCCTCCCAAAGTGCTGGGATTACAGGAGTGAGCCACCGCGCCCAGCATAAAACTTTATTTCCCGAGGTGGCGGCGGGCAGCGTTGGCCCAGAGGGTGGGGTGACTCTGCGTCTGCCACCCCAGCCGCAACACCTATGCACTTGAGCCCTGAGATTGAGTTCCCTCCTGGGGTATCCCCGTGGCCACCACGCGTGGTTCTGCACGAGACCTGGGCCAGCTGTGCACATGGAGCAGCCCTGGGCTTCAGTGGCTGACCCCTCCCTTCCACAGCTGAAGTCCTTCCTCCGGGAGTGCAAGGTGGCCAACTACTGCCGGCAGGTGCAGCAGCTGCTTGGGAAGGTTCAGGAGAACTCGGAGCACATCTGCAGCCGCCGCCAGAGGGTTTCCTTTGGCGTGTCTGACCAGCAGGCAGTGGTTAGTGGAACCTGGGGGGTAGTGCCACCTGAGGGCACCTGCCAGGGGTGTAGCTGGGATGTGGGGGTTTGCCCAGGGTAAGGCATGACCCTGAACTCCCCCAACCCCCCAGGAAGCCTGGGAGAAGCTGACCCGGGAAGAGGGGACCCCCCTGACCTGGTACTACAGCCACTGGCGCAAGCTGCGTGACCGGGAGATCCAGCTGGAGATCAGTGGAAAAGAGCGGGTGCGGCTTGGGAGGGGCCTGGGGTGTGGTGTGACTTGCTGGGTTTTCAGATCTAGCTCATGGACTGTGACTTGAGACTTTGCGGCCAGGGTGAGGGTTTGGAAACAGTGCTAGGCGGCTGGGGCCATGGTGCTGGGCTGCGCTGCCAGGGCAGTGCCCAGATGATTCAACTTGGAGAGGGGGTAGGTGTTGCAGAACTGACCAGAGCCAGGTGTTTCCAGAGAGGGGAAGCCCGGGGCTGCACTGGGTTGGGGAGGCCACACCCCCTCAGGCCTGATGGGCTGGGGGCTCTGGGCAGGTGGAGTGGCCGGACTGACGTTGCCACCCCGGCCGGCAGGTGGGGAGAAGCAGGAAGGGCTCTGCCTTTGACCTTGGACATGGGGTGGGTAACCTGGAGGATGGCTTTGTGCTGATTGGGGAACAGAGAGGGGACTAGAAATTGGCCACACGGTGTTGGTGGTGGGTCTGGCGATGCCTGGCCCAGCTGTGGCCGTCAGCCCTGCCCTCTCCCACCTGAGCCCCTGGCTCTTTGGCCTTCCAGATGGAAGACCTGAATTTCCCTGAGATCAAACGAAGGAAGGTGGCTGACAGGAAGGATGAGGACAGGCAGGAATTTAAAGACCTCTTTGACCTGAACAGCTCTGAAGAGGACGACGACACTGAGGGCTTCTCGGAGAGAGGTGGGGCCTGTGTGGTGCTTCCAGGGGAAGGATTGGCCTGGAGGGCTCTGCTGGACTTCCCAGAGCCACGAGGGCCGTCTGTACCCACCCTGCGGGGCTCACCAGTCTCTGGCCCGGCTGGGGCCAACCTCCGTGTTCCCAGGCTTCTGGTGCTAGTGACCCTCGAAGTAAAGGCCTACTGGGATTGGTAACCCTGTCCCCAGGCCTGTGACCTCCCAGTTCCTCCCCAGGGCTCCTCTCCACCTGCTTGGAGTCAGCGGAGGGAAGGGCGGGCATCCAGGCAGGGTTGTGAGCCTGGCCACCCTCCTGCCCTCGCTGTGACTTTGCTGGACCCTGTGGGTGGGAGTCACATGGGCTCTGCTCCTTGTTCCTCAGGGATACTGGGGCCCCTGAGCACTCGGCATGGGGTGGAAAAGGACGAGACGCTGGGGCCCCTGAGCACTCGGCATGGAGTGGAAGAGGATGAGGACGACGACTCGGAGGGTGAATGGTCTTGGGGTGAGGGGGTGTGGCCCTGTGATCCCATCTGGCGGGAGGGCGGGGAGGTGGGCGGGGGGCTCGGGGCCAGGCTTTCCCCTCCTTGGGGAGGCCAAATGCTCTATTCTCTCTGGCTCTGGCAGCCAGCAACAGCGGCAGGGCTAAATTAATTAGTGCCGTGATTAATTAGTGATGAGTAACCTCCAAGGCTGGCTTCTTCCTGATAAAGCGGAATTTATGTGGCCTCCATCTCTCCCCACAGATGGAGACCCAGACGCAGAGGCAGGGCTGGCCCCTGGGGAGCTGCAGCAGCTGGCCCAGGGGCCGGAGGATGAGCTGGAGGCTCTGCAGCTCTCCGAAGAGGACTAAGGCAGCCCATCTGGGGGCCTGCAGGGGCTGCCGTGCTGGTGGCCAGTGTTCCCACCTCTCTGGCAGTCAGGCCCAGAGGCTGGCGTGTGTGCAGCTGGGGGAGGCAGTAGACAGGGGACAGGCTTTATTTATTTTTCAGCATGGAAGACCAAACGGACTGAGAGCTGTGCTGGGCTGGCGTGGCTGCTGAAGCCCCACAGCTCTGGGCTGAAGCCAGCTCCGCGCGGGACACGATGACCCTGATGTCAGGAGACTAGACCAGTCCTAGTTCCAGGGGGAGGCCTGCAGACCCCTGGCCCCTTCCACCACCTCTGCCCTCCATCTGCAGACCTCGGCCGCACCAGGCTCTACATTCACTCCCCCAAGTCTTTGGAAATTTCCTCCTTTCCTTTGAAGTCACATTTTCCTTCAAAATTTTTTGTTTTGCATCCAAAACCAAAAGAAATAAAGCTGTGGGAGGCAGGGCCATTGTACTGAGTGGTGGCTCCTGCACATTTGTGTGGCCCCACCCCGTACCCCCGGCCACCTCAACACAGAGGCTGGGAAGGGTCAGGGGCCCCTGGAAGTAGAGCCAAAGTCCCATTCTCCTGCTTGGGTGAAGCTCGACCAGCAAGGGTGTGGCCCCCTCCATAGGGGGACGTGGCCGTCTTGGGGGACAAGGGCTGCTCTCCTGTGCCGAGTTCTCGCTCCGGGGCCCGCAGGGTTGGTGGCTGCAGTGGCAGAGCCACAGGGAAGCTGGCCATGTAGAAGACTCGGCCCAGGCGCCTGGCCACCTGCAGAGAGAGGGCCTGGTGGGGGCTGGCGCACACCCACCCAGAGCTTTCTGCCCAGCTGTGGTCTGGAGATCCTGACCTCACTCCCCCGCAGCTCACCTGGGCCCGGATCTTAAGGGCGGGCCCCAGCTTCAGCCCCATGGTGCTCAGCAGGTGCTCCTCCGTCAGCAGTGGCAGGGTCTCCCCGTCGATCCCCTGCTCCCTGAAGACCTGGAAGAGAGGGCGGGTCAGGACCCGGGTGCCTGCTTCATCCTCCAGCCCAGGAAAGCCAAGCAGAACTGCTTGTGCAGCTCACAGAAATTGTTTTAAATGCTCTGTTGGGTTTGAGTCGGTGTCAGGCAAAAGACACCTGGCAAAAAAAGGTGGGGTTCATAGCCCTGTCCCTGCCACGCGCTGCTTTTAGGGAGGGAGAGGACGTCGGGGAATAGCCCTACCCCACCATGCTTTCCAGGGAAGAAGTGAGTGTCAGTTCCAGTCCTGCCCCGGGGAATGGCCCCCCCTTACCCGAGTGTACTCTCCGCAGCCAGACAGGCCCCCCACGAAGTTGCAGACATCATCCACGGTCCATTTGCTGACGTCCTCGGGGGCTGGGGCCTCCTCCCCATCCACGGAGAGTCCCCCTACGGCGCCTAAGTTGTGGGGCACGTTACTAGAGTTCTGGCTGGCTTTCCAATACCCGCCCGTCTCCTGACCGTGTGCCCCAATTGCTCAGATGTAGGATGGGAACCTAAGTGGGATTTTCCTCCCCACGGCCCCCCCTCCCCCAAGACCCTTCCACGGGCGGCCTGCCAGTCCTGTGGCCTCTGGAAGGATCTAGAGTGTGGGGGTGCCCACCTGTGTGAAAGTAGGGGCTGACGGCATAGGGGAAGCCCAGGGGCAGCGGAGGGGGCAGTGTGGACCCTGAGAAAAGCCCCTTCCCCTCGGCGCCGGCCCCTCCAGCTGAAGCTTGGCCCGGAGTGGGCCCCCGGCACCCAGCAGCTGCCGCCTCGGGGTCCTCTCCGTCCGAGTCTTTGGGCGGCTCGTCCTCCGAGCCATCTTGTGCCCAGAGCCTAGCCCCCGTCATCTCTTTGGACTCGCTGGGCCGGGCCGAGGCAGAGCCGGGACCCCCTTTCCGGGGGGCTCGCCGGGCAGAGTCC